TCCCTCTTAAATGTATTTACTTGTTAATTTTTTATTTTGTCCTCAGATTGTAATTGTAATTGTGTAGATATCTTTTTAATCTACTCTATTTAGTTCTTAGTCTAGCTTTTATTTAAACTCTATTTTCACTAACAAAGACCACACCAGTGAGGAGCAGCTGCCCAGTATGAACACAGCAGGCGGAGCCCAATGATCATAAAAAGAGCTAACCATTATGGTAATTACAGTAGTGGTACAGAGACTACAGTCCTACAGTCAATTAATGGAGATCAGGTTGTGGGTTGGCCATCACCCACAGCACTAAAATGCTCAAGAGCACCTAGCTTCAGGTTTTTCATGACCTCTGACCCCTACTAAAAAGAATACTGACCAAGAAGTCAGATAAAGTACGAATTCTGTTGTCAGTGACTGCTGGTAAGTTTTTATAAAAACCTATATTTGTGTTTGTGTTGTGTGTATTCACTTTGGTTTCATTTCATTTTGTTTGTATTTACTTATTCAATATTGAATTGTGCATTACCTGTTTGGTGGAAATCTCCTTAACTCTTGTTCTCCTAAGATGTGCCTGGATGACCTCTGGTCTTCCAAACCTCAGTTCCCTCTTTTATTTTCCTATTATCCTTCATATTTCATAAATCAGCTTTGCAAGACATTGTAATGAAAATTGAAATCATAAAGGAAAAGATGGGTTAACTAAGCGACGATGGGTTTGCCTTTAGGGGTCGAAACACATTTCATTCACATTGTCAACAGATAAGTGTTTGAGTAAAGTTAACCTTCATTTTTCTAGTATCCTTTTTACTATGGAGCCAAATCCCTTATTTTGTTACCTTAGAATGATGTAATTGAGCTATTTCTAATTTGACTTGAAGAGGATATTCTACACGTATCATGTATTTAACCTTTAACAGGTTTTCAGCAAGGTTTAGGAGGCTTTTAAGGTCTAAAACCCTTGAAAATGTCCCAAACAGCATAAACGTTACCCATTAATTTATACCTTAAAGGTCCAGTGTGTAACATTTAGGAGGATCTATTGTCAGAAGTAGAATATAATATTAATTTACCATATTATGATCTATTATTTATCCATTCCTTAATGCTAAATTTGGGGTCAGACCTGTAAGATTTACAAAGTAACAAGAACACCTCTACACCTTTAGGAAACATCAAGGTCATTCTAATGTACAAATTAAATTCAGGTTTGACTTACGAGACTTAAATTTCAACTTTTTACTCCTTATTCTGTGCAAAACAAGTACATACTTATAGAAATGGATATGAACTCAATATTTTCATATATTACAGCCATTACACAAAAATCCAACAGATCCATTTTATGACACAAGATGGTCAACTATTGAGAAAAAGATTGAAGGTTTGACTAAATATTGACAGATATGGCTCCACTGATCAACACTGCTGAAATATATGACAATATGATGGAGACACAATTTTAAAGCTGCCAATATAACATGATGAGAATTTCAATATAGCTACTGCCACTGCTGTTCGTGTTCAGATGACTGATGATGTATCTGCCCAGTCACAATATAATGGTTTAACCATTGATGACATGGAATGGCGCCGGCGACAACGCGCAGGCTGTCACTGGCACTCTATCCATCGTGTTGTACGTTCACGGTGTGTCTTTTAGCTGGTTGCTTTCTTTTCTCATTTTTACACTGTTTTTTTTACATTCTTAGATCTGCTACTGCTCGCTAAATACTTTTTTGCGTTTCACCTCTCGGACCACACTTTTTTATTTTCTTTTATGCAACCGGGGATTACACAAGCGGCGCAGGAGTCACTTGTCATACCCGCGACACCGACCAACGAGAGAGCTGAGGAACCGAAGCATCTGACGGAAGAGAGCCTCACTCACCGGAGGACGCTGAGGAGGAGACCCGCGAGGCTCACAGAGTGGGGTTAAAACGGAGGACTGAAGCAAAGAGGAAGGTTTAAACCCTACATCCTGCACGTCCATCCACTCGGAAACAAACGTGGCTAACACGCAGCAGCATACCGGACTCCCAACCGCTCACCATTCGCGGCTTCCAGACTGGTTCGACGCCGACCAGGGACACGCGAACCGCGGCAAGCAAGAAAGGAGGGGTCTGTCCGTGCCTCGTAAAACAGGCTGGCTGTAACCCCCGGACACGTCTGTGTGGAACAGTGGTACGCAGACATCGGCCTCGTCCGCCCGTCGGTCTTCGTCCATCGTTCCCTGCCACGCGGAAGTTTCTCCAGTGTTATCGCAATCACCTGTTTATAACTTCCTCCACACGCTGGTCTTCATACCACCATACTGTTTGACCCATTTATGGAGGAATGTCTTATCTTATTCCTCCTCTACAGCCACTATTGCTCAACCTTCTGGTGTCTGTTTTGAAGAGCGCTTAACAAATAAAGCTGGATTGTATTGACAGTTTATATAAGGGTTTAACACAGGCATGGTGTGTATAACTTAAAATGGAGAGCAACTGTAGGTGCAATGTATAGAGCAATGTCTCCCTCTAGCGGTGAATCAGAAGTATACACAAAGTGAACAACAAATCCATTAAAGACTATGCATTGTGACATTAACTTTATAAAAACGAACACATTGCCCATAGGAAATAGTAACAGCAATCAAAGCTGAGTTTTCAAAGTACAAAAACAGTTAACTTGAAATGGGTAAGGAATGGGATTAATAAAAAAATAGCATTAAAATATCTGAAAAGTTTATACAGAATTCAAAGAAAAAAAATGCAACAGCATAATGCTGAAATCTTCACACAATTTGAGGTAGCTGATAAAAAGAATATTGGTTTTCAGTTGACACCACCACATTCACACACAATGACAGGCTAACTACAAAAAGATATAATATATAGTATTTACAGTATGTGTATTTACATATACAGTTAGTAGTTACTTAAAATACAGACTTAAGTTTTTATAATATAGGTATAATATAGTCTAGGTATAATACAGGTACAGTACAGGTAGTCTATAATATAGGTACAATGTAGTCTGTCATTGTACTACACCCAAATGCTCTGGAAAATTAAAGACACAATCAGCCACTCAACCACCTGACCCTGTGGGAGTTCAACGCTGGAACCTTTTTCCCCACAGATGAGGGTCTCTGAAGTTCCACATTTCTTGCTCTACCTCTGGTACCTACAATAAAGAATGGCAGAGAACAAAGAATATGTCAGAAAACAGAAAACCTGGTGAAACTGCACAGTGCATATATGTTATGAGAATTATATTAAGTATCACCTTCTTGTTGTTTTAGCCACTGTTGGCTTCTCTGACCACTTGTAACCTTTGCTCACAGCAGGCGATCCTATGGTAAGAATGAGGGTTAAGAACATGAACTCAGATTAGACACTGAAAATAAATTCTGATTGGACTATGATTTAAATGTATTAAGGACAATTAAAAAGACATTATAGAGACTTCAAAAGAACACACTTTGTTTTTTTGTGGTGTCTCGATTTGTGGCCCTTGTCCACTGTATGGCATCAGACTTGGACTTCTTCAACAGGTGGGGTGTAGACTCGTGGGAGCTGCGCCTCCGTCTGGGTGCCACGTCATGATTATGTCCCAGTTTTGCCTCATTAACCAAATTATATTTTGGGGTTCTCGAGTCCTCCTCTGTCCCCAGGTGACTTTTTCTGTGTATAGTTTTGGGGACATGGCTATTCTCCCAGGCTTTCTTCACTTGTTTCTTTGCTGAAGACTGCATGGTTGCAGAAAAAGAAGGGCCTTTTGTGGGAGGGTTATGATGATCTAATGTTGAATGGTTGCTGTTAGACCGCTGCAGTTTGGATGAGGAGAACTGTTGTCTGGGAAAACTGCAGGAGGCAGAGGTTTCTCCAGACTGAGACAAGGCTCTAGACGAGGAGGCGCTTTGTCTGGCTTCAGAATGTTGTCCGCTAGTGGAAGACGAGCAACCGCTGGAGGTTGATGGGCCTTCCTGGTCAGGTAATGATTGTGGTCTTGAAACCAGTATGGGTTTTGCTACATTGGTCTGCACTATATTCTTTGTTGCATGTTGTCGGTCATTTGCGGGTTTTGGTTTGAACACAAATCTTACTTGTTTTTTTATGATAGGATACTGTGTATTGTTTTCACAGAAGTCTGTCTTTTTGCTGGTTCCAGTCTTTGGAGCCTGAGTTTTACCATCACCATGCATGTTGTCTCTGGATTCTTTTGAAAGTTTCAAGTTGTTAGGTTGAGAAGACTTAAGAACAAGAAGGTGAGGAATCACAGGAGTAGGACCCAAAGTGGAGTCTGCCTCATTGTCTGCAGAAAGGGAATGCATCTTTTGTGAATCTTCAGATGTCAGTTTGGATGTTTTAGGTTTTTTCTTGGCAATTCCACAAAGACGGTCCACAGTTCCAGCTGGAGGTCTGTTTTTTGTAGCACATAAGGCATCATCACTGTCCTCTAGTCCTGACGAGCGTATTCTCTTTGTGTTTGCCTTCTTTCTTTCTTCTGACACCAGTTTAGACTGATGCTGTGTCAGCGAGGAGTCTGCAGAGGACAGTCTGGTTCCTTTGAACGTTTCTTCAGCAGTACCATACCTTTCCATAGCTTGAGGTGATTGTCTCTTTTGTTGAACACATGGGGACTCCCCGCCTTCTGCTGACCCTGAAGAGAAGTTTTTGTCCTCGTCATCCTCTGTGTCAGAGACGAGGTTTATTACATCTTCGTTTTTAGAAATCCTTTGTCTGTTATGTTGAACACTCTCAGAGCATTCATCCTGCATCACTACTTCACTCACAGTTCCACACGGACTGTCCACAGTTTGAGGTGAATGTCTCTTTTGTTGACTAAATGGTACATCTTCACTGTCATCTGAGCCTGAAGTGAATAACTTCCTTGCTTTTGCCTTCTTTTTATAGTGTTGGTCACTTTCATCCTCTGTGTCAGAATCAATGATTATTGTGTCTATATTTTGTCCATTCTCCTTATGTTGAACATGGTTGGATGCAGCTTTTGGTTTTATGAGCCATCTAAGCTTTTGTATGCTCAACTTGTCCAAACCCCTAGTTTGGCCTTTTTGCACATCTGTATCATCATCCTCAGACACAGAATCAACAGACACAGCTGGGGACAGAGAAGCTGGGTAATCATAACTGTTCTCTGTATCACAACTTTCATTAGGCTGGGGAGGTGCTGGCCTCTGCGTGGACACAGTCAAAATGTTGTGTTCTGAGTCAGATGAGTAATCACAGCTGTCCTCAGTTTCACAGCTGTCTTCAGACTCAGGGTATGACGCTCTTCTGTCCTGAGGTGTATGTGGTTCTCTCTCAAAGTCCGGGTCATGTTCAGGTGGGCTTGTGGCAAGTGCTACTGCTAATGTTTTATATTGTACACCTTTTTTTTGTAGAAAGCTATCAACAGTGTCAAATGCCTCAGGAGCTGGCCATTGTGACTCACAGCGTGTTGGACTTGTGACACACTGTGTTTCTTTTCCTGTTTCACTGCCATCATTTAGCACAACTTCTTCTGGGCCACCCAGGTCTTCATCTTCTGGTTCAAATTTAAGGTCAGACATGTTTATAGGTATAACCATCCAGTCATCAGAACATGGACTAGGGCAATGTGCTATATCAAGTGTTTCGGTCACTGGGGAAACCACCTTCTTTGGAATCAGTTCCTCATCGGAGATGATTTCTGTCTGCATCTGAGCCTGACCTTGCATATGTCCATAGAGTTCATTTTCAAATGGGGCCTGCTTATTGTTTGGTTCATGTACTGTCAATGAAGGCACCTCCATGGCCATATTTTCAATCTGTGTATCGTCATCTTCACTTACATCTTCATACTGTGGATTTCCAAAACTTACTTGAAAGCTTAATTCCTTGTGCTCTGTTTTTGGAAGTTCTGTGGCCAGTTGAGATATGCCTTCATCATCTGAAATGTCTTCTTCATATTGTAGATCTATCACAGAGAGTGCTTCCTCGCCCTCACTTTTAGATGGACACGCGTGTTCTCCAACTTTGTTTTCAGAAAGTGCTATGCTTACACCAGTTAGTATATGCACAGAGCCTGCATCCTCTCTTGCACCTCCATGACTTGTTTTGGGAATTGACACATTATCAATCTGAATATTGTCAATCGGTGAATTTAGCTTGGAATGTTTTATTTCTTCCTTACAGGTAACTTCACAGTGCTGTTGGTCTTCAACTTCTTTCATTTTTTTCTTATATGCATCTTTTTCAGTGAATGATGTGAGTTCAAATGTTTTGTTTTCAGATACCACTGAACATGACATGGTTTGAAGATCATCTGAGACATCTGTCACATCTCGCACATTGTCCAACCCTACTGTCTCCACTGGTTTTAGGCCTCCTTTCTCCCTCTTTGTCATGGGTTTCAGAGCCCAAGAAACACCGGGCATCTGGTCATCCAAATTCTTGTTAATATTTAACCTGAGAGACTTATTTTCTTCTTGTGATGCTCCGCTGTTGCGCGTTGAATTTGGGTGCTTCTCAGTCAGTTCATCAAAGGTAACTCCAGGCACTGTGGTGAGAACCACTGGAGCAACTTTCACCATAATTTGTGGATATTCTGTGGATGTAAAGAGATGAATGTTATCTATATCCCCATTCCAATATTATTGCAGTATAACTATAGGAAGATTATCCATCTCTGCAATGGTCTCTACATTCTCCAGACTAGCAATCAGCTCGTTCAATGCAGTTAATGAATAATGAAGAGTGGTGCTATTCTGTATGTAAGTACTTATCACACCATTTACTTTCATCATTGCTTCTGACAAATGTTTCATCTTCATAGTCAACTGAATAAACAAGCTTGCCCTCACCATTTGCAGGCATTGCTACATCCAAGTGTATTTTTACTGGCAAATCCAAATCTACCAATGCATTCTTTCCAAAAGATTCAGTTTTAAGACCATGTTTTGAGTTTCCTACAGCAGAAGTTTCTCTGGTGCAAATGTAGCACAATTACCTGTGTCTTCAGATGTAGAAGTTAACTCAGCATTTTCTTTGCTGCTCCATAAACTGTCCTCTTCAGGTGCTTGTCCAACTGCAGCAGTGGACTGTTCAAACACAGCAAAGTTAAGGCTTTGCCTCTCCACATCTTCTTTGTCAGAGGCAATACTGCATCTCTTATTGCATTTCTGCCCATAATTTCTGTTTTGTAAAATGTCCCTAAAATGTAACACCTTTTCTAAAATGATGTTGTTTATTGGATCATTTGTAGATGGTACCATTTCTCCAGCTGGTGAGATTTTTTCTGTGGATGTCTGTGAAGGTGGGGAGGAGACCTGCTGCTGACAGGGGACAGAACAGGTTCCTCCTGAATAATCTAGATTTTGTGTTCTAGTCTTTCCACAGTTTATGGCAGCTAGTGAACTTTTCACTTGCTCACTCTCACAGTTTCCTTTCAGTAAGGCATGCAACAATGGGTAAGGTCTCTTCCAATAACTCTCAGGCACAGAAGAAGACTGATCCTGTAAAGTCTGTGCTCGGTGTCCAAATGTGTCTCCCCGAAGTGCTGCAGAACAGGTACTAATGTTCCACTTTGACCCTTTTTGTTTGCAACATTCCATTCGCCGTCCAGTGTTATAATCAGACTGCTTTACAGAGTTCTCATTAGCAGATGTACCAAAAGAATCGCTGTGTTGGGCAGAGGCATGTGCTGATGAATAACGGAAAGCATTGGGTTTTCGGCATGAACTACACTTACTAGCCCAGGGTTTTGGGTACTGGAATCCAGTGCTTGCCAAGCTTGCTTGTGACTCCAGTTGGTGGTAGAGTCCCTGGAAATGTTGTTGCGATTGTGTATTGTCTTGCTGCCACTGAGGTGGATTGTAAGACACTCTGAGCTCCCCAGGATATTGAGTGGCTACCACGTTTTTTTGTATTCCATTTGCAGGTTGAACCACTGGTACAGGTGTAACATTGTTGTGTTGAAATGATGTAAGAGCATGCCAGTGTTGGACCGCAGGATATGCCTCTCCTTGGCTGTGTGGAAATCCAGACTGCATTGCATGTAGAGCTCTCTTTGAAGTGATGACTTCAGTTAAGCGCTTGCCTGGTCTAGAAAACAAATGAAAAAAAAGGGAAAATTAGTGGTTGTGTTGGAGTAACAAATGTCCAACCTGGACCTGGAAGTTTCTGGTCAATCTTTGGCAAAAAGCTCCTCTGCAGCTTCTATTGGAGTTCAGAAAAATAATCATGAGTCAGGCAGAATCTGATGTTGAAGAGTTTATTACGATGATAGAGGTAACAATAGCAACTAAACCCGAGCAGGTCCCAGGTTAAAGAAGTCCTTCAATTTAAGCACAAGAACCCCTCAGAATGTACTGCTAATCGGGTACCTGCCTGCTCTTCCAACATTAGTTCAACATCAGTATCCACTTACTCACCACAAAAATAAACCTTACTTTCTTATCGTTCCACACCATTTACACAGCCACAACCCTGTGCTAATGTCCACAACCCCTGATTTGGTGTGAATATGGCAAAAGGTCAAAGTCTTTCCGTCATCTTGACTTGAGCAGAACCACCCTAAAATGTGTTTTGAGCTGTAAATTGAATTATTTGTCTATACAGTGATGAAACACCTCAATGCTGGTGACAAACCACATTCATGAAAATCTGCAATTTGTGGGTTAAAAATGGCTCAACACGCCCTTTACTGTTTTAAAGTCCACCCTGTACATTTTTAGACAAATTCTGAGACAGAGTTGACTGTCACAACATTTCTTTTTTAAAAACACATGTTGTTAATGCCTTCTGATCAGAGGAGGGAAGCCCTCCTCCATTACATCCGCTTTGAGTGAGAGTCTGTAAAACTGCGCCCTACAGACACACACACGCACATATACCAAAGAGTTAGCCTCTCTGAGACACTAGCTTAGCTACGACTTACACTGATCAGCCATAACATTATGACCACCTGCTTCTAAACACATAACATATCACAACCAAGATAATCAGCGTTATTCACTTCACCTATCCGTGTTCATAATGTTATGGCTGTATGGCTGATCAGTGTAGGTACCACATAGACCTTTTTAGAAACGACTGTCAAAGTGCTTCAAGTGACTGTAAAATCTCCAGCGGACTCTGTTTCTAGCACAGATATGGAGAGTTGACTACCAGCTCACTGTTCCTGCTACACAGCTGTGGTCAGTCTGTCAATCACTGTGGTCTGTGTCAATGCCCTTTGCAGAGGGAGGGGGCTAGCAGAACTGACTACTGACTGAACTACACTGTAACATGCCACAGCCTGACAGAGTGAGTTTGGGTGAGGAGGGGCAAAGGGAAGGGGTGTCAAACAGAGTGATGGATAATCAGTTGATTTTACTGCAGGTTTGACGACACGTTTCACACCCTTCACCCACTCCGACTCACATCAATCAACCACCAACAGCTCCTGCCATCGCCTACTGACTCCCCACCTGCACTTTTTATTTGTGCACTTCTTAGGTAAGAGACAAGGAGTGGTTTCCAGAAATATCTGCATCCACACAGATTCACTGGAAACGACCCAAAACGCTAGTACAGATGGCCGGCCTGTATGTGGCCGGTGAACGCGGCCACACCAATACACTAAAACCGAAAAAAGAAGCCATGAAGCATGCGTCATAAAGGTTACGCGCTATGCACAAGCCTGTAGTCCGCTGGTTGTATTGTTATGACGCGTCTACGGCGAGCGGCTGAGGGATCAACAGGCTCGATTGAGCGGGGCTAATACCATCACTATGTTTCTGAAAAAAATCTGCATTCACCGTCCAGACGACTCGGGCAATCCGGGCATTTTAGGATTGATTTTCCCACTCTGGGACCCGTTTTCAAAAAATACCGTTTTCACACCTCGAAAACGCCGTGTCCGTCTGGATGCGAGGCCGATACGATAAAGTATTTATCCGGATTCGACAAAAACGTATTCGTGTGGACAGGCCCAAAGT